ACCCGAGCAATATTGCTTGCTTTCCAATGCTGCGGAAATATGATCAACCACTCGGAGTCCTTGTTGGACTGTAGAGTGTTGTGAACGAAATCCGAACTGATGGGAAGGAAGAGTTTGGGATTCTATAAAGGGTAGGATGCGTTTTAGGAGGATCTTTTCAAAGATTTTTGAGAGAATAGGAAGAAGGCTAATTGGTCTGTAGGACGTTGAGGTGTTGGGAGGTTTGCCTGGTTTCGGAAACAGGATAATAGTGGAATGTTTCCACAAAAGAGGAAAGTGGGTGGTTCGTAGGATGCTATTGTATATGTATGTAAGGAATATGACAGCTTTAGGAGGGAGTTGTCTAAGGATCTGAGAGGTAAGCAGGTCGTATCCAGGTGATTTACGGGTAGGTAGTTTTTGTAAAAGGAATTTGACCTCAGAAGGATTAACTGCTTTAGGCGGTAAGGAGAGTGGGATGGGTGAATTAAGGAATTCCTCTACTGCTGACGTGTGGGTGGGATTGGATTCTGGATGAGAGGTGAATGTAAGGGAAAGGTTTTTGGCGAATTCTTCGGCTCTATCTTCGTCAGATGCTGCCCAAGAGCCATCACCTCGACGGAGAGGATGTGATATGTGATGGGGTTTTAGGATATGTTTGGTGGTCTTCCATAGGGAATTGTCATGAGAAGAGAGGGAAGTGAGGTAGGAGTTGAAGGATTGGGATCTGAAGGTGGCCAATTCTATCTTTAGTTTTTTGCAAAAATAATTATAGGATTGGCGATCGGTGGGGTGTCTAGTACGTTGCCATAATAATCTGGCACGGCGTTTGGTATGGATTAGGTCTATGAATAACATTTTTAAAGAAGAAGAAATGTAAATTTTATCCCCTAAGGATAACAGCCCAGTCAAATTAGCACTAAAAAAGGGGTCTACCTTGCAAAATGTCGGATAATTAAATTTTTTTTTATATTGTAAGGTATGTAGTGTGTATATAAAAAATCCAAGTTTTTGCCCTTGAAAGTCTTGTGGGTTCGCTACGGTGCCACCAAAAAAACCATCGAAATTTCGAATTTTTATTTTTGGTTTACGTTAAATATCTCTTTTTTTAAAGCAACATAGATAAAAAAAATACTTATATTCAATCTTAAACAGCTTAAAAGTTTTGTACTGGATATTTTGTCTAAATCCAACAGCAAGCAAACTATCGAACTTTCAAAATGGGTAAAATTGAATATATATATATATATATATATATATATATATATATATATATATATATATATATATATATATAATATAATAGAATAGAATAGAAAAATAATTTTATTCTGGGACGAAGTCCCTTCAGAATAACAAAAAAAGTACAGAAATTAAAATTTTATATCTTGCCAGATAAAAACAATCATAAAAAGTTAAGATAAAGATAGATCATTAAAAAAAAAAAAATTGTTTATACATACTATATACAAAATAAAGTAAAAAAATCTATATAAAAAACTCTTGAAACCATACTAAGGATACTTAAAACTATGTACAATGTTAAAATATAAATAAACCCTTTTAGAAAAAAAAAAAAATACAGAAAAAATAAATGTAAATTCTTCTTAACAGTAAAATCTGTTTCTGTTGAAAAAAAAAAGAAAGTCGAATCTATAATAAGTATTTAGGTTATGAGCTATATGTGAATATGTTGTTATAGATAATATGTAATTTTACATAAAAGGTTAGCTGGTGTCTGACTCTTTTTGGGACAGGAATTGGAATAGGAGAGTTTTGAATGTAGATAAGGATGAAGAATGTCGGATTTTGATAGGAAGGGAATTCCAGAAACTAACTGAACGAGCAATAAAGGAGTTTTGGAACGAGGCAGATCTGTGAGAAGGAATGTAAAGGTCGGAAGGTCGAGATCTTGTGGAGAGGGATTGGACTCAGGACTTGAATTGGAGAAGGTTTTAGGCGTAGGAAGGACGATGATTGTTGATGATATGATAGAGGAATGTACCTAGGAAATATTGTCTTCGAATGGAGGGGAAGAGCCACTCTAACTCAGTGTAGTGGTGAGATACATGGTAGTATCTCAGAGCACCAATTACAAATCTCACGCAACTGTTCATTACATTTATATATATATATATATATATATATATATATATATAAATTGGCAAATACATTTTTGTATTAAAATTTGTTCGATAATACAATCAAATATCAATACAATCATTATAGCACTATAACTATGCCATTTATGAGTACTTAGTGATGTGGGAGAGGACTCTTAGATGCCTATGCCAATGTCGATTAAGTATATTTTCTAAACAACTTCTTCAAATATTTTAGAAAATAATCAGTGTTTTAGAAATAGAAATGTGTTTTCCATTTGTTTTATTTAGGGCCGTTTTTCGTTATTGTTGACTATTTATTTACTCTGCAGTGCCCAGAAAAACATTGGGATTTCGAAATTTATTTGGTTTACGCTTTTTAAAGCGACATAACATAGATAAAAACTGGCTATATTCAATCTTAAACAGCTTAAAAGTTTTGTACAGGACATTTTTTATAAATCCAACAGCAAGCAAATTATCGAGCTTTCAAAATGGGTAAAATTGAAAAAAAAAATGTATATATAAAAATTGGCAATTAAATTATTGTATTCATATTTGTTCGATATTATTATTATAGCGCTACGGTCCTGCAAGAACCCGGTCTTCCTGTACTACAACCAACCAATCTTCACGGTCTTCTGCTACTTTCCTCCTCGCACGCTCAACTCCTGGGAGAAAAATATGGGGCGGAATCTTTGAGAATGGAATTTGGAGAAGAAGAAAGAATGAGGAGCTGCGGGAACTCTATGGTGAATCTGATATTGTGGCATTGATAAAAAGAGCCAGAATCAGATGGTTAGGTCATGGGAAAAGAATGGCAGACCAAAGAATGCCAAAGAAGATGCTGCATGAGAAGCCGGATGGCAAAAGAAGTAGAGGGCGCCCTCGGATCAGATGGCTGGAGGATGTTGAGGACGATCTGAGGCGGCTGGACTATCGAAGATGGATAAATTTGTTCGTTAATACAATCAAATATCAATACACTAATTATAGCATTACAACTATGCTATTTATGAGTACTTAATGATCTGGTAGAGGACTCTTAGACGCCTATACCAGTGCTTTTCGCCGATTAAGTGTATTTTATTAACAATTTCTTCAAATATTTTTGAAAGTAATCAGTGTTTTAGAAATAGAAATATTTTTTCCAAATGCTTTATTTTGAGGCGTTTTTCGTTATTGTTGGCTATTTATTTACAAACGACGCTTGATTTTCAATTTTGCTTTAAACAACTTGATAACTTGATTTTACTGGTGTTTTTTATTGCCAAGGCCAATTATATTTTAATTTTTTTTCTATCCTTTAACAACACCTCACTTATTCCTGTTTAACAAATCCGTTACCTAGGACTCCATCTGGACAAACGTCTAACTTGGAATCCTCATACCAGATTGAAACGACAAGAAACAGCTCGACGTTTCCGACTACTTCAACACTTACTAGACAAACGCTCTAACCTTCCAATCAATTATAAAAGACTCATTTACATGAATATAATAAGGGCTATTTGGACTTACGGAGTTGAGCTATGGGACTCCACCAAACCTTCAAATTCCTCTCGCATACAATCCTTACAATCCGAAATCCTCAATGCTCCTTACTTTGTTAAAATTATCCATAATGACCTTTATGTTCCTTATGTATCAGATTTGGCCCAATCCAGATATCTGTCCTTCCATAATAAACTTCATAACCATCCCAACCCTCTTGTCTCTAACCTTGCTTCCTATTCGATTCCTGATAACCCTCCGAGGCGTCTGAAAAGAAGATGGCCACGCGATCTTCTAATATAGACATATTATTAGAGTGCTACCAATGGGCAGTTTCTCAACATGTGTTCCATGTCATTATATCCATGTGCGAATTTACCAGATGTGTTTTTTGTATACAGTTGTAAATATCATATAAATAAATAAATAAATAAAATAAATAAATATTTTTTCACGTATTATTACTCTATAATTATTATTGTTTATCAAAGGCCAATTTTGACGAAATTCAGCTTAATGACGAATCTCAGTGACGGAAAAACTAACTCAAGTCATAGACGTCAAGCTGCTATGTTTGAACGACATTTTGGAACAGTGCGGCTGCTTTTTTTTTTTTGGGAACATTAGATTTTTTTTAATAAATACTACAAGGAACACAACTATCTGCAATTTATTGTGATGGTCCGGGGTCTGGCCCACCGATTAACTTACTCAATAGCTCATTATCTTGAAGAAAAGCTTCCAAATTCTCTGAACGAGGTTCAAAATTATTTCGTTCAAAACTGAAAAAGCACTATTTTGAAGAAATCGAATAGGCAAATTTTGAAATATCGATAGTTCGCTTCCTGTTGGCTTGGAAAAAAATGTTATGTGCAAAAATGCCAAGATATTTTTAAGCTGTTTAAGATTGAATACAACCAGTTTTTATCTATGTTGCTTTAAAAAGCATATTTTTAGTGTAAAACAAAAAAAGTTCGAAATTTCAAGGGTACTAACCCACAATGCTTTCAATGGCGGAAACTTGGATTTTTTATATTCACTACAAACCACACAAAAAATAAATTTGAATTACCCTACCTTTTGCACGGTAAAATGTCTAATTTGACTGGGCTATAACTGTAATGGAGAATATAAGTGTCATTTGTCTGTCACAAAATAACAAGAAATAATTAAATTACAGAGTGACGTTACCTTAAAATAAAAATAAAGGATAAGCACGAGTTTAGGCTACTTAGTTTCGTTTTTTTCTTTTAATTTCATTTCAATCCTTTATTCAATCCTTAATTCAATGTATCAATCCTTTTGGCCATAAGTAATATTTTCTTTTGTACTATTTTGTTATTTTTAATTGACTTCGTCCTAGAATAAAGTTATTTTCTATTTCTATTTATGTTACGATATCTAATAATTTTTTTTTTGTCTTAGGTTTCAAAATCTCCTGAAGCTCCGTCCTTAATAACACCGTCACTGCCTTGCTATGATGTCTCGTCCTGTACAAATTTTGTTAATTGTTGATCTAGTTTTAAGAAAAACATAAGATCTGTTTAAATTTAATGATAAAAATAAATCAATGAATTCTGCAATTATCTTAGTTTTAATCAATCAATGAATAATTTGCATGACTAACTATATTTTCTACTTTTAATTTAAATAACCAATTAACCATTTCGTGTTAATCAATTGTCGTACATTATATATTGCTTATGTACTTATTATTATTATACTTTGAAATTATAGTATTTTAATGAATTGTATTTTGTGATTGTATTATTAAACAATTAATTATTGTTGCTCGTTTTATTATTATTATTATTATTGTTTGTTTGTTTTTTGTAATAAACTTTGATTTTTAGCAGTGTTAAAGTTTCGTTACTTATCCGAACTGTCTTTACAAATTCGATGCAGACAAGACTTCAAGATTAAGAAGTTTGTTGGGGATTCTGTTTGTTGGAAGCAAACTTGACCGAACTAAGTTACCTACTTCCCGACACCACTGGTTAATGCTTCTCTCAGTCCTAATAATTGGTGAATAGGAAATTATAACTAAAAAAAAAAAAATTGGAGTTAAATAATTCGTAATCAGCATCGTAAATTACACAAATATTTCTTCAAAAACTTGTAGAATAAAGATTGTTACCCTCCAAAAGACTAAATTTCTTTTACCTTATTATTTTAAAAGCTTTCTTTCTGTACCTAGCAACATATTCTCGCATTTTTTTTTTTTATAGAGTCTGAATATTATGAAAAGATTTTTTCATTATATTTGAAATTGTTGAGGGAGAAAAGAATTTTTTTTTTCATTCTGTAGTTCTGTTTCGGTAGTTCTGAAACTATAACATTTTTGTTTTTATTTGATGTTGTTTTTTTTAAAATGCTTTTATTGTATTTTACAATATTATAATTAAGGACATTAGTAATAATGATACAGGAGTTTATTCACACTACATATTCAATAAAGAAATTAAATGAAATAACAGAAAAATAATAAAACTAAATATATATAATGCATATATATATATATATATATATATATATATATATATATATATATATATATATATATATATGCATTTATAAACAAATAAGGAATTTAAACTGATCTGAAAAACAGGACTCGAGGAGATCCCAGCGCCTCTCTCTAAGCCGCTGCACTGGTTTAATGACTAATGGAAGGTGAACAGAGGCCCTATACCTCTGATGGAAATTGTAAAAAAAAAAAAAGTGATACTGCTTTGAAGAGTAGCATTCTTTAGAGATTAATTAAATAAGACAGTTTACTTATCATTCAACTAGTATAATTTATTTTTGTTAAAATAACCACTGAATACGAGGAGGATACTAAAAAAAAGCTGGATGAGAGATCTCCTTTCTTAAACAACCAAAGTAATTGAATCAAGCCAAGGAATAGGTTCCGCAGGATATTGTCCTTCATCATGCTCCACTTATTATTTATATAAAAATGTACAAATATACATATATGTATCATCAGCTCATTTGCTGATTGTCAACATATTACTGACAGGTGCACATAAATGTTTAATGACAAAAAAAAATCATTTAAACAAAACCAGGAGCTTTCAAACGGCTAAAATAAGCTATGATTTTTCTTTTACAGCAAAATCGTGAATTATTCGCGATTTTATTAATCAGCCTTCTAACGGATTATATATTACGTATATAATAATTCTTGTTTTAGTAAGCTTAATAAATTCATATTAATTAAGTTAAGAACTATGACATGTTAAGTTCTCTCTGATCGTAAAATACATTATTGCAAAACTTTTATTATTGTTCTACTACTACTAACGAATTCACCGTTATAAATTAATTATTAAAATAAACTTTTTATTGATGATAAACTAGCTTTGCTCGCAATTATTTCTTTTTCCCTATTACAATTAAGGTAACTTCTAGAGAAATTTTTAACATTAATATGAACCAAAGCTTTCGTTATAATAATGGATAGGTTTAATTTACAGCGAATTTAGTTTTTTATCGCCCCCTTTTTTTATATACAGTCAATTAGTTAATTATTCATGAAAGAAATTCTTACAGCTTGTTTTTCTCCAGTAATAGACACTCAGGTTTTTGGGATAAATAGATTATTTAAATAATTAAAAAAAAAAGAAAATCTTCAGTTTTATACCAAGAAATAGTGAACTACATACAAATGAATTAAAATTTCAAAACTATCTCATAAAAAAAAGTTATAAGAGAACCTTCCTGAAACAACCTCAACCATGTTTCATTAAAAAACAATCTGTGGTGATGTGACATGATGTCACTTGAAGTTCAGTCATCACCCACCTAAATGTTTTAATTGCAGATCTAATCAAATTTGCACTCCCTTTTTGCCTTATAAAGTTAATTATCTGTTAATGAGTAATTAAAACTGTCTATTACTGGTACATTCACCTTTAATGTAGCCTGATAAGAGTCTTATTTTTATGATAAGGATAACTGTAATGCATATAAAAACTTTAACTGGCCGGTTATAGGAAAACATGTGAATAAAACTTCTATTAAATTATTTATTTATTGAATGTTACAACCTTCTGTCACTTGCGTATTAGTTATACTAAGGTAAGATCGCACTCACACTATATATATATATATATATATATATATATATATATATATATATATATACAAAAAAATATAAAATTACATATAAATAATAATCAAAAAGTATATACAATAAATTAAATAAAAATAAGGAAATTTAAAAAACACACATACCTATATACACTATCTATTAAAATTAAAATATGTTATTCAGAAAGCGTTAAGTTTTCGAGTTATTCGGAGAACAATTTTTAATTTTAGGATAAAATTAAATTTAATAAAAAAATACGTCAAATACTTGACAAACACAAAAGGTAAAATAGAGGCATTAGACAAGAAAAATGTTGTTTATAAGTTATAAACTGCCAACATTGTCAGTAAATATATACAGGCAAAACATAAAAAAAAAAACTAAAAACCAGAATATCAGTATGCTTAAAACCGTAAAAACATTAATTTAACAGCCATGGCAAACCATAGTATTAAATCAACACACTCATTTGACTTCAAAAACCCACAAATATTAGCAATAGAACCAAAAACAAACAATAGAAAGCTACTAGAAGCCATAAAGATAACAAACAATAATAATAAAACAGTAAATTATAAAACGGATACAAAACACTTAGGTACACACTATTCGGACATAATACCCAATATTAAAATTAAAAAATAACAATAGACAATATAACAACAAACAGCCATAATGTGGAATAAGTGGACAGGTTCAAAGTGCAGTAATGGAACTGGAAGTCAGATGTTGGTTGATGTGATAATGAACAGAAAATGAATGTTTAACACCAAAAAAATATTAAGTGCATATGACAATTATTGTAATTTTTGACAATTGCTGCCACATCACAAAATCAAGGTAGATAATTATACAATAAATAGAGTAGATTAACAATTTAAAAATAGTTCATTTCAAATATGTATAATTTCAGTAAACATAAGGAAATAGTTGTGATTAAAAAAGGCTAAAGAAAAATGGAATTATGTTTTCCTTAACCTTAGAAAAAAATATATAAACAGAAGCTTCCTAAAAAAAGAAAAATAAGAAGATAAAAAAAAGCAAAAAAACACATACTGCTATGTATTGTAAAGACCGCCGGTTTAATAATTATTTTAAATGTATAAATAAACATCATAAGTGGCCACATCTGGCGGTACCTGACTGAGGGTAACCCATTAGGACAACCTTTTGTAAGTGGTAATAAAAACCCTTAAGAACCACCGACAAAGACCGACAACTGAGTGTTTAAACAGGATTCCGAAAGACCTTTTCACACCTTCCACCAGAAATATCTAAGTCTGTACCTGCTGCTTTACCTTGGCCTGGGGGAGAGGGCGTGGTCATCCCTTAGGCTGAGAATATTCAGTCAATCAGGAAAAAGATTACCAAAAGAGAGGGGGATGAAGGAAGGTGGGAAATAGAGAATTTGGACTGGACACTTCTTTTTGGAACTCAGAGGAGGGAGGACTTCTTCTTGGGACGCAGCTGAGAACACTTGCTCTTGGGACTTCAAGCGGGGGAGTCGAGGGAGGAAGACGAAGACAGCCGGAGAGAGCAGATGGACGGACTAGACGCTGAATGAGAGCAGAGACAGGGAATCCAGATATGACGGCTAGAGACACCAAGAAACACTATGAAGGACCAGCTAAGTGGTAACAAGCATTTAGTTATACTAATGTAAATTTGTGTTGGCAACCATATATCATTAATTAATATAATCAATATAACACGTAACTTTAATCAAACATCAAGCATTCTCCTCCAGTATGATTCTCAACTATTCATTATGTATATAGGTTTAGTTATTATTTTGTGTATTGATGTTTTTGGTTCCATTTAAGCTTGTAAATATAATAGTTAGTAAACCATCTTAGTACTTTTACATTCTACCTTGCATGCCACCAATTAGTAATAGAAACAAATAGTAAATTTATAAACATGATACCATTAGAAAGGAAATCCGATAAAAATTATATGGTTCAATCTAGGATACTACAGTAGGGGGTCTGTGGTATCTAACATTTAAATACATCATTAATATATTTTAAGTTGATCGGTTCCCTTCTGGGACCGATATAAATACATATTAATACAAATAAATGCGATTCCTGGAACCCCCTAGTCGCCGTAGAACCGCGAGGCCAGGAACATAGCAATACATACCTATATGCACTATCTATTAAAATTAAAATACATTATTTAGAAGGCGTTAAGTTTTCGAGTTATTCGGAGAACAATTTTTAATTTTAGGATATCTAATTTTTTTTCCCTCTTAGTGTACAATTTAGTTAAAAACATGCCTTAGTGCACATCTACAGTCTAAGGAGAACTACAAATTAAAATTTCAACTTCACAAGCCATGTCATTTTAAAGTAGAGACACAGTGATTGAAACACACCATTCTTTCGTGTACTTATTAAAAATTTAGGATGGGTAAAAGAACTTTCAAATGAATATATTAAAAAAAATAACCATGTTTCCTAAAATCCTATTCCCGATTTTGTTTTATTTGCATAAATTTTGAGTTGTGACCTTTCAATACTACTTAAATGAATTAGATTAAAATTATTAAATAAAATTCACATTATATTCGGCAAGGAAGAGCTCGTTAGGTATGACAGACTAACATACTTAGCTCAGATAAACGAATATTTAATAGGCTAAATAATGAACTTAGGCTACTAATACGAAAATTCAAAAAAATATTTGAAAAGCTTAACTACTGACAATGGAAGTTTATGAAAGCATACCAAGAATTTGTAAAAACATCGAGAAGTGTGTGAGA